GCAATAAAATACAGTGCGCATTGATATTACGAATATTGTGAATACTATAACACATATATTATCAAATATACTGTAAATAACTTTCTCACCATTACACGTTTTTCTGAAATAATTCGAAATCTATTGATAATATCGGACAATGCGCTATAATCTGTGCGTTCAAAATCTCACGTAGCCAAATACTTCTTTTTAGTCCACTAGTCTTCATCATAACGTTACACACACTTACTTATGATACATTTAATAGTTAATAGTAGCGTTAAACAAAAATTTATCTTGTCAAAATGTTTCTTGTCGCGGATTAAAAATGAGACAATTACTACAAATAAATTTATATCCTACAACGTATATTACAAAATTTTTACTTTAGAACTAATTTAATTAAAGTAATCCTCGAAGTATATATTTAAACTCTCTCGGATGGCAATTAGGGTATCATAAAACAACGCCCAATAAATCGCAAACACAGCAAACCAAATCGAAAAATAACTTAGATGTATGATAAATATCCCCATAAGTCTGTGTTGCGCTAGCCAAGGATAAAATCTCGTAATTGACATGGTTTTATCTATGCAGGTAGAAATGAAGGAAACTATGTTCCTCCGTGGAATTACGAACAGACTCGATAGACCAAAAAATGTGAAGTGCACCAAAATCATATTTAAACTTAAGCTAGCAATGTAATATGCCATAACTATAATTATAAGCATCACTAGTGTAAACCGAAATCTCATTTTAATACACGTATATCTAAATTACTTCAACTTGTTACCGATACAACTCGAAAAAGTCTACTGAGGTTTCACTTTAGAAAATTCGTGGAACGATTTTGAAGGTGTTATCCGCCCCCAGAGTAGATGCAAATAAACTCAAACAACTTTGGTCTGCAAAGTCCAAACGTATTTGCTGTGAAAATGTAACTGATGGTTGCTATCTAAACGATGTTTCAGGAAATATAACACGGATATTTTATTAAATTAAATAGTTTGCAAATATGTATGTATGTGTCACAATATGATGAAGATGAAAAACATTTTCTCGATAAATTTGTTTGTTTCATGTCGAAATAGAGATGTATTAATATAAAGGTACGCCAGTATAAAGATGTGACGTATTTCACTTTTCGAGCATTGTTGGAGGTTTGTCAAATGTCTAATTTTTCGTGTTCGAAAAACATGGTTTCTTAAACTGTTTCTAGAGAGGGAATGAGCGACGTGATGCCTATTTAGATACAATCTAAACACAGATACGGTCTAATCTAATACGGTAGATAGGTTAATGGCTGATTACACCGAGCACGTTTAATGCAAGGTCAAGTAACCAAGGGTTAAAGGCGCTAGACCGAGCAATCAACAGTTGCCCTTTATGCACACACATACAGCTGACCCTTCCCTTATATGAGAGTATTTATATAACTATGATTTATACAATTATATAATTATATATTTACATAACATTCAAAATTATTATTAACAATACACACAAAATGCTTTACTGCACATTTGTGAGAAAATGACAGAAGATATTTTCAAATTTTCATTATTACACCGTTACATATTTTTTAACGAAGTACATTTTTAGGAACTGATAAATATAGTTTAGAGACAAATTGTTTAAATTGTATCTTTTACACTAGGTGTGACTTATAACGGATTCATTTGTTCTGTCAAAAAATTGAATATTAGGTATTTTAAACGTCAAGTTATCGTTTCGAATGTTAATTTACAAATTAGTAAAAAAATGAGAGATACAAAATATCTTAAATAGTACTTACATACATGATTTTAGCAACTCTACGATAAGTTAATCGTAAATTTATTCGTCTAATAATACTATTTTCCTCACAACGTACATTTTTATTAACTCTATAAAGACTACACCTGCATACATCAAACGCACCATAGATAACTTGAAATTTATACTAACCGCATTATGTGCTGAAATATCTCGAACCTTTTCTCGAAGTTCATTGATAGAAACGATGCATTCCAAACATCACATATCCGGTATCTCATGCATTCAATGTCCAAGTATATCACATACACTTGCACTCGCGGCGTTTAATATTTCATCAGTGTTTAACGTATATTTATCTTGAGTTAAAATATACGAATTTGTTTAGCGATGATTGAAAACGAAGCGGAAATGTCAATTTTTACTGTGCACCGCATACATTACGAATCTAAATTTTTACGAAATTGAAAACTGTATTGAAAATATATGTAGTATAGAAAAAAGAACAGCATAAATATAAATCATTACATAAAAGCACTTTAACGACTAGCTACCTCAACTAAAACACTTAATAATTCTTTAAGGACATTTATTAGAAACTTTTATAACAGACAGTTCTGAGATGTTCTTCCAGAATTTTAATCATCTTTGTCAAAATTAGTTAAATGATATTACATACTCAACGAGCGACTGTTGTGTTTTCTTTTTGCTTTTCCTGGGGAAAGAGGAAGATGTTTCAAAATTTTCAGTATGTGAGAAACATAGATTTCTTAAGCTATCTTTAGAAAGGTGGGAATAAGCCGCGTGATACCTATTTAGATACGATCTAAACACGGATGTAGTCTGTTCTAATATGGTAGATAGATTAATGGCTGATTACACCAAGCGCTGTTAATATAAGGCAAGGGTTAAAGGCGCTACATCGAATCAACAGACATTACTTTTTTGTTCAATTAATCCTCCCCGATGTACTATATGTACCAATACTTATATAATTATAATCAAAAATATTAACGATATGGACGTTTTACTATACATTTCTGTTGCGATTTGTCAACGTTGTAGAGATGTGTCATTCTAGTTATGTATTAATCGAATGTAGTTTGATTTAATTAGTCGGTACACTTTAATAACAGACTGCGGATAAAGTGTTAAGTCGTGCTATTCTCGCTGTCTTGAAAATAGTACGAATACCACACATGCGTTATCAAATACGCCGTAAATAAATTGAAATTTTTGTACTAGCCATTATGAGCTGAAATATCCCTGAACTCTCCTCGAAATCCATTGATAGAATCGATGCATCCAAAATCGTATATTTCTGACATCTCGCGCAACATTCAATTTTGATTCATCAACTCCCGTCGAGATATATCACGCGCACTTGCACTCGCGACGCGATATTTTATATTTCATCAGTGTCAAACGTATATTTATTATTAGGTAAAAATATACTGAATTTGTTTAACGATGATTGAAAGTCATACGGAAATGTCAGTTTGTATCACGCACTGCATAAATTACGCATTTAAATTTAGAACATTTTTACAAAATTAAAATTACATTGAAAACGTAAGAGAGTAATATAAATATAGAATATTAAGATATTCTACAAGATGACTTAAAGTAATCACGGCTCGAGCTTCGTCATATTTGTCTAATTATTATTTAAATAGTGTAAATAGTTGCGTATGTCTATTAGAAGGTTCATAATTACTATTAGTACATACGTGAATAAATGCCTAGCTAAGTAATAATGGTCTAGCTCTTTGCACAAAATTAGACTGACGGTTAGAAGAAATCCTATGTTTAGCAACAACATTTTAATATTAATGTTTCTCGTACCACGATCTATTCGAACTGACTAACATGACTCGTCTAATAAGAAATTCCAATTGAGAGAGTTCGCGAAGAGATCTTGGAAATGTTATGGTAAACAACTCACGAACGACTTCGTTCCGCTCTGTCAAAGCAGATTTGCGATGAAAATATAACTGACCGTTGTTACACGAAGCTAGAAATATAAAATGGGTATTTTTATTTATGAAATAATTTGAAAGTTGAGTACACCTGTGTCGGGGTTAAATTCAGATAAAAAGAATTTGTTTATTTCGCGCGGAAATAGAAATGCATCGATATAAAAGCGTACCAACAATAAGATGTATATTTTATCGAGGAAATGATTAACAAATCAGTACTTTTGTACAGAAAATAATCTTTCCACCGGCTTTAAAACCATCCCGTGAACCATCCTCTGGATTGGTACCACGCCGAGACGGTTATCTGAATGCTGAAGCGACTTATTAATAATTACGCGTTGACCCACTGCCGCTTTTGGAGTCTGCGCTGTTTTAGCACGTTGCATTACATTCAACGAATGAGGTGAACCGTTGTGTTACAATTCATTGAATATGGATAAAAAATAGGGCGTGTAAATTCTTCCTCCTATAACAAAGTTTAATTAATTTTAATGACAGTTGTTCATTAGACAGTGCCCCAGATTGCTCAACTCACATTTTCCTATTTTATTTTAGAACTGATATCAACGTAGTGGTATTCAAATATAGAGTGTATCGAAAAAGATAATCACCTACAAAATATATCAATATTTCCTACATAAATGTAAAATCTTTTTAATGGATTAAAATTTAATTGTAGAATTATTGAAATCTGCAGAAATTCTGGTGGACAAAATTTCTACAACTTTTACTGAACGTGTTTAATTTAAAATAAGAGAACGCATACATGAAACGTCTGATAAATTAACGACCTGACAAATGAAAAGATTTCTTCTTTAATTTGAAAGAAATCTTTTAAATAAATTGATGGATTGGAAATATTTATTAAGAAAGTGGAGGCATCATTAAACTTTTGTATCCTCCAAAGAAATCTATTTCAGTAAAATGGAGAAAATGTCTCTAACTAGAAATTGATTAACACAAATTCGAGTTGTCAAGTCTATTTTGTGACATTATACAAAAATATTCAACATTAAAAATTATCTTAAAAATTTTCTTGTCGGATTGGCATAACGACAAAGATTATAAGAAGATTATGCAATGGAGCGAAATGTACATTGTAAAACTTGTAAATGTTCATTTGTAAAAAATATGTAGATACATGTACATGTCTATGATCACGTGTGCTGTCTCAGACTCAGGGGGAAAATCATAGTAATATACTTTAGACTCGACTTCCATTTCTTCCGATTCACGTTGAGATTTGGAAATCTATCAACAATAAGAACTCGCTTATTCTTGTTTCAGACGTTCTGCGTGGTGTCCAAGAGGTTCCGCAAGAACTACATTCATAGGTTTACGGCGACCAACAGTTGGTTCATATTCTCTCCGTGGAATCCTATTCGGCGGTGCTGTATCTTCCTAAGTACGAATCAGTACTTCGATTACGTGGTCATGGCTACTATCCTTCTTAACTGCGTCTTCCTAGCCATGACCGAAACCGTCGAGGAAGCCGAGTAAGTATAGACTTGTATGTATATGCTTATGCCGTAACAGTGACTAGTAGATCAGCAATAGGTGACCACTGTCCTTATTTGTGTCGTCGTTATTAAATATAATAATTATACTTTTCTAAAACCCGGTTATGATGTTATTTGTAGTTATTATAAAATATATTAAATATAGAAAAAAAAATTATTCCGTAATACAGTTTTTAATTTTGAATCGTCTGTTTCTTAGGAAAAATTTAATTGGAATATACTTTTTGTTGTATTTCTCAATTTTTAATATTAAATATCTTGGTTACAATAATTTTTAATGTAATATTATGCCATTAACTACATATTTAATTAATGAAATCATGTAACATTAATGTATCACATAATATACACAAAGGCATATCTTATTAAAAATTTACTTACAAAATCCGCTTTAAAGACCCGATAAAGAATAAGGTTATAAAGAAAAAGTTTTTCATTTCCAGGCACTTGTAAATCCTATTAAACATTGAAAAGCCTTTGATATTTCGAGATTTTGTTAAGGACAATTCGTCTCTGTATTGAACATAGAATCTGTTTGATCCTTTTATTTTAAGATATCTTTTATTTTAAGCATCTGAATTAATTATTAATTTGCTCGTTAATTGTGTCTACAAGTGATATCTGCGGAATAATAATAAGAATCTCATATTGTCATTTCGCGTGAAAGCCATTCTTTATTGCAGCAGTTGTAATATTGCTTTCTTTGTTCTTTTGTTCCTTTATTCACCCATAAATGCTCAAAGATATGATAAATGTGCATTAGAATGTTCTAAAGACAATTAAGAGACAAAGACAAATAATTATCAGCGATCACGTTACGTAAAATATTTTCTCCGAAACTATATGAACATAAGTGTGTTATTACAATTATTTTGACAGTGACTATTGTTCTCGGAATTTTGAAAAATCCGAAAAGCTACAAAATTGCTAATCGGTAAAAAGATACAATTATATATTTTTCATCTGTATCGTATTTTGGAAGCCGCTCGCTTTCAAAATCAATGAAAGTTGCCGACTCCTCAATTCGAATATATTTTGTCAACTACCGTTCTCGTGAATTTTACCAAATATTAATTATTATTTGCACACTTTTTCTCAATATTCTACGACGATTTACAAGAACGTTTGAAAGAGCAGTTTTCTGATTCGAATACGGAGTTAGTTTTGTTTTTAAAATGATTGATCTGTTTACTGCACGTCAATCACTAATAACGTCACCTATTTTATTCTGCTTTTAATAATATTACTTTTCCATGTGGAGAACAAAAGTATTGCGTATCTATCGACATCACGCGAAGCAAAAAAAATTAAAGGGGATTGGAATAAGTTTATCGCCATTAAAGGTGGTTTAATAAGTTATTTTTCCGAAAAAGTGCGTACTTATTAAAATAAATTACTACAGTCGTTTTAGAATAGTCGAGGTCAAATTTTTCTAACATACTGGTGGTTTCTCCTCGCGAAACGTGTCAGATTGTAAGGTAAAGCCATAACACTTTCTTAATATCCGCTTTACTAACGTTTTGTGCAGTTAATATCTTCCAACATTGTTCTAGCAGTCTCATGAGACTGATTTAGTGGAATCAATACTTTTCGTGTTTCTCTCTTTTCCACATATACTGATATTTTCTTCGTAGTTCTTTAATAAACAGTATCTTTTATTGAATATTGCGATTTACGTGGTTCCGTTATAAAAAGCACAATTCGTTGTGCCTTGAAATTGATGTAAAAATTAATTTATCATCTTAACACATTGTGCACGCCACCTAAGGCTAGACTTAGAATGAGGCAAGACGTTAGGCTTCAATTATAGGCTTTTGTCAGGTAATCGAAATCCGGCATTCAGGGAGTTAAAGACGGGCCTGACGGGTTCTCTTTAAACATGCACAACTGGCGTTCATTTCATATGTGTTCACTTAGCATGTAATCCTCTTAAGCTAAGTATCCTCCAGCGAGTAACTCGCGACAGTTCTCGCCGACTGCGGATAGCTATTCGTTTAACGTGCTTCCGCCGAATATGTCTCGCGGTAATTTTCCGCAACTGCGGCCTGAGCGAAGGCGTGCCAGATTAACGAGGCTTTCAGGATGGTGAATAAGCGATCTCTTCAGAGTTCCTTTCGGTAAGCTAATTTGCCTAACTCGTTTAACATAATGAGCAACTTATGTACGTTTCAAGCAAACAATTTAGCATCCATTGGAAAATATAAATTTTGTATTGATAATTCTCCGGGGAGCCGAAGGGAGGCTCTCTGCTTCAAATCATCGCTTTGTCCAAGTTGCAGAATCAAATAGATGATATGTCTAACTGATGTGTCGAAGCATGACTATTAATGAACGCTGTGATACCGAGGCATTCGGTGTCCACGGCAGAGCATCACAAATTTATCGAGATATAATATGAATAACGAGTTAGGCAAATTAGCATTGGCTGTCACACGCTATTTTCAATAGAGTTGGAACGTAATTTCGATGATCCCGTGCTCGTGCAGGAAAATGTTCATTAGGATCGTTCGCGTTGCTACGTGATCGGGGAGAGCACCTCATCACGCCGCACAAAAGCGGAAGCACACACGGACGCTGGTTATTCCGTACCCTCGGTGCGGAATGCAGATCCGGGGGATGCAGCGAATGGTGCAGCGCCAGTGCATCTCCGCGCGGAGAATGCCGCAGGGCGCGACGTCCGAGGCGCGGATGGAAGCTTTAAAGATCCGCTCTCGTTCTCGCTCTCTCTCTCTCTCGTCGGTGTCGTCGAATTGGGTCGAAATTCTTTGCCGCTGTGCACAGCACGAACGAGAGTCGAGGCTGAGGGAGAAGGTTCGTGAGGAAAATTCGCGACGTTCGATTTCGCCATTTGATCGACGGAAATAATCGACGGACAAAATTTTCGTCAAATTGCAAATAAGTGGCTTTAATGTTCCCAAAAATGCGACCAGAATTTCTATCCTTAACCGTTTCGTGACGGATTTTACGTAATGTTTCAACGTATACGTCAGCGTAAATGCGATGTAAAGATTTTTCATGAGACGGCTATTCCATAAGCATGATGTATTTGTATTGTTGAGAAAGTTAAATTGATTGCTAGCAAGTCTGTGTTTGTAATACGCTTGAAATGATTGATTCGATGCGGGCGGTTATACACAACAGGGTGATTTATAGAAACGCAGGTCTAGATCTAATCTCGATTCGAAGCGTAAAGTTTAGTTTGTGTTTGCGCTTATAAGTTTAGTTATTCGCAACAATATTATTATGGATGCATATATAATAAGTATATACTTAATTTATTCTGTATTAATCAATCTCTATATGTATATGTGTGTGTGTGTGTGTGTGTATTTGTGTAACTAAGAATATTGTATTTCAATTCAATGTAAAGAAAAACGTCGTTAGATTTCTTCTATTTTTTTCTACACATGCAATGCTTGTAATAGAATTGACTTGCTTCTAAGTATTATTGTCAAGTTGTCGTTTCATTAGTGAAGAAAAATGTCACGTTATTTCGCTATATCTAAATAAGAAGAATCCCCGAAATTACTGAAAAATCATGAAACTGTAAGGATGGATGACTTGGTTACGGAATAAATTCAAACTCAGAGAGTTGGTTACAGGGAACTGCGGCAGTTCGGACAAGTTCTGCGTAACATTTTGACTTTCCCGTAAACAAGTCGAGTCTCGATAACGAACGGTAGTGGGTAGTTGGTCTGATGTTCGATGCTTCTCATGTTACAGATATATCTTCCTAGCCATATACACGGCGGAAATGGTGATAAAATCAATCGCGAAGGGATTTATACTGAACAAGTACACTTACCTACGAAATCCCTGGAATTGGTTGGACTTCGTGGTGATTACCAGCGGATACGCCACTATTGGGATGGAAGTCGGGAATCTGGCCGGTCTCAGGACGTTCAGGGTGTTGAGAGCACTTAAGACTGTATCCATTATGCCAGGTAATACAGCGAATGTGAGGCACGTATATCTCGCTACGTTTCATTTAGAGCAGGGTTCTTCGCCCCGATTAAAAAGTTGCAACGATAAGCTCTAGTCAGTTGAGTCTTTTGAAAGCTTAATGAAAAAGAAACATTGAAACAGTTAATCTTGAGGAATTTAGCTTGGACGTACCATTTTCGTGTTTACGTAATTCAGCATCGATAATACCACAACGATTTCTTTCCTCTCCGAGTTAAGATATGTATTTATGAATATCGCGAATGAAACAACTAAACGCGAGCATATATCCATGTGTATCGATTACAATTGACAAAATATTAAGCATCGGTTAACGCTTTAGCAATTGTATGCGCGCGATCGATATCGGTAGACACGTATTAATCAGCTGCGCTGGTGCAGACAATCTGAACCGCTTTTCGTATTAATTTTGGCTTTAAATCAAGCCCACATTTATGTACCTTTCGCTGAAGTGAGCACAAACGCCATTGCGCGGAATGGCTAAAAATGGTTCGCTATTGCGCGCCGCGTAACGCATCGTGATTTATCGTGTTAATCCATTCGTATGACAAAAACCGAATGACAATCGCGGCGGAATTCGTAACTTACTAGTTGCAGCGTTTCGTTCATTATCTAGATATTTATACATCTATTTTTCACACGCATTATTAGTATTATTATCTTTACAATATTGTGTATTAATAGCTTGATGGAAATTACAATATTCCGCATCAGAATTCATCGCAATGTTCCGCATACATAACTAAACGTTCGCGGCACGTACGGCTCTTTTTTTTTGCGGTCGTGTATGATTGCGTATTAATATATGCATGAGGACGTTTAGCGGTACGTCCGCGAATCGCTCGCATTTATCGTGTAATCGTTTCCCTTGCAAGCCCTTGCAATATTCAGTACCGAGGGTCCACTCGGTGGGACACATTTGTAAATTTGCGATAGTGCGTTAAAGGAAATTGCCGAGCTTTCGCGTCATGTGGCTACAACATCGCGTTCGAGAGAGGGACTTGCTTAGTCGTGTGTCACGGCCAAGTACATTTGCAATGATGGATTTGACATGTGCGATATGGAATGCACGTCGATCGACAGTTTACGATGATGGGTATAAAATGAGAGCAAAGGCACGCGAGTACGATTCGATTTTTATCTTTGATTTACCGACTTGAAGAATTTATGGATACGATCGAGTTTATGAGGAAAGATTTATTTATCTAGTTTTTGAGAACAATTTTTAGAATTAAATCATTCGAAAATGTTTGGTGTCTGAAATCGTCCAAGCTTCAAATTTCTCGAATTGTAATATGCAGTCGTAAATGTGTGAAAATAGTCTGCACTTTTCGAAATGTGTATCGCTTTTCAAGTCAAGATACCAAGTATCTTACAACTTAAGTTAATTCAGATATATTTTTATGTGTAAATTCTTGAATATGCTTCGAACATTGGATATTTGATTTCGTTTAATTAATTTTTTTCTAAATTCCTCTGGTTTACGTTATTACACCGACATACGATTTAGTGATCGTAGCAGAAACCGTGCCTTTAGATACTGGTCGTTCTGTATTTATTCGCGAGAAATAAAAGTGGGGAATAAAATTATCTTGCAAGACGCGCAAACGACAAGTGGCTCTAGACCGAGCACATCGAAACTTGAGCGTGAAATAACAAAGCGAGAGAACGGAAGACGAGGAAATAGGTCGCTAAGGCAACTCGGTCTGCGAAGCTAGCCAGATCAAAAGATAGTATAATGGGAGACCATGAAGCGACAGTCCGTCTCTGGCTACTCGAGCGAAAAACACAAAGCGGTTGAGGTCCCAGGAAGCGGATTTAAGTTTCCATGGAGAAGAGATGACAGGTCGGCCTGATACACAGAGAACGGCGAACTTTGACCAAAGTTCGGCTGGACAACTCGAATGCGGTGAATGTCATCTCTTGGTGATCGCGTGGACCGCCACGGAGATTATTCCTGATATTATCGAAACCGTTCCGTTTCGCATCTATCGTACATGCATTCGATGAAAGAGACCGTGATTTATCTCGATGGCCCGTCTGATATCGATTTCAAATGCCGCGTGTGCAAGTCGAAAAAGTGTGCGAATGTACACAGCTATTCATACCGAACGTGATTTATTGATTCGACCGCAAAAAGCCCTTTTCCCCCGTACGTTCCAATATCGGAGTCAAAGAAAGAAAAATTAGACGGGAGACTTGTAATATTTGCGAACGCGTATGATTAACGCTGCAAATTAGGGAGGGATCTGTCTAAGATTTTTGTGGCGATCTCGAAAAATCGCCCGTTATCGAGCACGTACAATCCGATAGGGAGTCCAAGTGCACTCGTTCCACGACGTTTTTTAGAACAATCGGAGGCCGCGGAGTAGCTTTACTCGCGCTTCGCGAAATTCCTAAGAACCGATGAAATGAATGCCCTGCTAACGATAGAGTGAATGGCGCATCTTCGATAGTAGGTCAATAGGATCTCTCGAGTAAAGCCGCGATCTCGGAAAAATCGGCTACGATTTACTTGCCGCAACTAACGGCGGACGTTAATAATCTAAGACACGTACGAAGATTAAACTGTTTAATAAATTAGAAAATGTGAGAATATTACTTGCTGCACGAAAACTTTTAGCTATTAATATTGGGTAACTTAGGCTGGATAATTTAGGGCGAGTTTGACCAAACTTTGGTTAACTTAATCGGCGATTAATTCAACTGACAGACTTGCTTAAAGCAAAATTTCTGACTACATAAGTGTTGGTCTACAACCTTGCTTTAAATAAGCTGTAAGCCTTAAGCCGCAAGAAATAAACCAATCACAGGCATTTATTCCCCTCACTCTCACCTGTAATTGGTTAATTTCTTACGGCTTAAGGCTTACAGCTTACTTAAAGCAAGGTTGTAGACCAACACTAACGCGTTGTCCTTAATTTAATTTTTGTTCATTTGATAAACTATGTGAAATTATTCATTCTCTCCGTGTTAATAAAAATATAAGCTAATTAAGTTAATCAGAATTTGGTCAAAGTCGTCTTTAGTTGTTAAGAAAAATTCTGTTAAAAACTGCATACAAACACATACATTTATAATGTTAAAGAAAAATTTTTGCTTGACCAGATAAACAATTGCGTTAATTGTAACGTATGTTACAGGTCTAAAAACTATCATCAACGCGCTGTTACACAGCTTCAAGCAACTTGCCGAAGTAATGACGCTGACAATTTTCTGCCTGATGGTTTTTGCACTGTTCGCCTTGCAAGTTTATATGGGCGAACTTAGAAATAAGTGTGTAAGGCATCAAGAGCCGAATGCCACACAAATCGACTGGAAGGAGTAAGTTATTTTCATTGTTACGCTTGCATATAAACTCCGATCCTAATTCCATATTTTTCCCCGAAATTGGAAGATATGCTCAGTCATTTATATAAAATATATCTGTATTATCAAGAAAAACTTTATGTATTAAGCAATATTGTCTATATATACAAAAAGTTTGTCTAATTAAATTTCTAGCAAGTTGTGGGTAAATAATATTATTTATCTGTATATAAAATGTTATAAATCTCGAGAGAGAATTAAATGCAATTCTAAATGACTGACAGTTTGACATAAGTATTTAGCTATTTAATCAGATATTGGATTTTATATAAGCGCTGTCAGTTTCTTATTTATATTTCAAAGTATATCGTGAAACCAAAATAGTTGCAGATAATCTACACTCGGAAAATAATTACGTAACTTTTGGATATGTCGATTTGATTTCTCTAAATTACAAAGTACTGTATGTAGGAGAATCACAAAGTATTATATTATAATAAAGTAGCAGTTGAAAATATGATTCTGCAGCACTTGCTAGAAAGACGTATTCCATGTTGAAAAATGTTTGATATTCCAACGCAGAAACTCTTGCGCTGCTTTCGAATACAAGCGTACTTCCGTTATCTCGCAAATAAAATATTATCCCGCAAAAATTGTATCGACTTTAACGAAGAGGTAGTATACATTTATCACGATCTTTCTGTTAACGAGGAATACAAACGAATCTCTAAATTTTCATAAATCAAGATTTGGTGCTGTCCAATACGAAGCTGATTAACCAATGTCACATTAAGAGACTTATTCGTGTCGCAAAACAAGATCGTGTAGCCCCGAAGGAGGAAATGTTCGATTAAAGGCACGAGGGCGAGAAGGATTATTCCGAGTAATCAAGATAAACGTTTTGTGCATCGCCGACATCGCCGCAGATATGTAAATCGTGCAGGATCGTTTAAAGCGGCGCTTAATCGTCGCAGTAGTCCGACCATAATCAACGGCACAGTTTCCGCAAGCGCAGCGGTAGATCCAAACAATCTGGTGCCTAAGACCAACGACATTAACGAGGAATCTAGTAAACCCTCCAGGCTTAACATGCTCAATCTCTTAGGAAATACACAGAGATTTTACCTCTGAGCAATTATGGTTGGTAACCGAAACAAAATATCTTGTTGCGAAAACAACGCGCTCGGATGCTCTCTGACGCGGCTGGCTATTCGTCGGCCGTAACTACTTGCGCAGCGAGAGATCACTCGCTCGTACCATCCTATGTAGCTATCATTCAACTTGTTTTATGGGTCGATAGGGTAATATGAACTTAGTACAATGACCCGAGGCAAAAATCTGTGTTATATAAATGCTCAAAAGATAAGCGTAGTATATATACTTGTAACAATTAAGTACAATACATTAACAGGTGCTCCAAGAGCTGCTTTTTGAAAGAATATAAGCACGTTGATGATACGTCTGACCGCAACTCATGAGCTAATTATAACTTGGAGCATTGAGAATATGACGCAAAGCATTCAAAACCAGAAAACAACAAAGGAATTTATGTCGTATTTAATGATAACTTATGTGACTTGGATTTTCACCGCGGGGAATAAAATATCGTAGTATAAGTCTGTGACATATCAAAGCGGCCTTTTGGCTATTTTTGTTTGAAAAAGTATTGGAACGGAAGAGCAAATTTTCATTAAGCCGGGTAGATTAAAACGGTAAATGCGAAAACGGAGCACGTGTTGGTAGGATGCTCGTGTCGCAATCCGTCACCGCGCGTGGTGCACCGCGTCCCAACGAGCATTCGTTTCCGCACCCTCGGCGCGAGCGCGGCGCGCGTTTACGAGCATCGCTATCGGGTTTCCGGTCGCGATGCCAAACGGGCCGCTTGCCGCGTGCTTAGGAAGCTATCCGTCGGCGGATCTCATTGTCCGCGCTTTCCAGCCCGACAGCATCGATCCGCGTTCGGTGCACGTCCCGTCGAATGCGTGACGCGACGCTCTTCGGGAGGGACGCACGGACGCGCCGTTACGCGATGCACCGCATTAAAACCAAGAGGCACTCTCGGAAAGCACGGGGCGCTTTTTTTACGACAGTCAAGTGTGCGGAGTTAATTTATGTGAGGAAAAAAAATCCGAATAGTTTCAAAGAACGTCGCATTATTTACGAACTCAATTCCGTGAGAAGAGAACTCTGTACGATTCGCATTCGACGAAAAGTTTATTTAGCCCTCCGAGAATTATTGTAAATTAAAATATCATAAATTTAAGTTATAAAATGTTGGCTGTTTGCAGAAGCAATAGTGTTTAAATATCGCTGATCCTTCGTACAACGTGTGACTACGCGTCTCCCGGTACCACTCGCGATCGAGTTTCGAAAAACCGGGCGAAGACACGTGAAGCGTTGACGCGCCGCAGGTAATTCCGCAAAACAATTTCTGGAATTCACAGCGCGCTCAACTCTCGAATAATGTAAACAATTACACGGCGTACCGAGGACCTCCAGAGTCTTGGTATTACATTCGGGCAGTCGAACGGAACGGACAGCGGCGCCGATCGGCTCCGCGACAAGTCCTACCAAGTATTTGACAAGGAACGAAGAATTTTACACGTAGCAAATAGAATGCGACAGCATTCTGATTTAGGCTTCTACGAAATGTCAACTTTATTTCGAATAACATTTCTTTTATGTTAAATTTATATAGATTCTGCAAGACTTGCCATAAGTAAATTTATGTAATTTTTCATGTTCACCCTGGTGAAAATTTTTTCAATAACTTCATAACTTTTTACCAAAATTTTCAGATTTTTTAAGAAAAGAAGTGGACTTTCTCAGTATTTCTGAAAAGTGTACGAATTCGCATAAAAATTCTGAGAAAAATGTTTACCAGGGCAAATTAAAGCAAATATTAACTATATTAATAGGATGACAGAAAAATACTTGAAGCTCTCTTTTCGTTAAAGAAACGATCACGTCTGTAACTATTATATGTAGCAAGTGACAGTGAAACACCACGTGGCAATTTGTTCCGCTCGGTATATACCGCTTCGCATCAGTTAAACTGAATGGTCGTATTCCTGTCGTGAATAGGTATCGCAATGCGATACGATGATCTTGCTCTGCTCGTCACGACGAGGAAACGCGGCCGCAGGCGAAAGCCCATATAAGCAAATAATACGCGTATTCTCTCGCTGTGTTAATTCTCGCCGAATGCGGTCACACGATTCCCATTTCGTATATCACTTCGGTAATTGGAGCCGCGGTCTAAAGTCAAATGCAGCGTTAAATGAAAACGAGAAATTAATCTTACTTGATGTTGACTAAACTAATACCGACGCGACGTTCATCTCTGGCTATTATCAATTATTCAAAGTAATTGATAATATGATTTCTGAATAAGAGAGGAAACGTTACACATGTGCAAATTATAATGATGACTCGCAGTAAAAAAAGGGTTATATAAACGGCGCTATCTTGCACATTTATCTCATCGCGGTTTTTTTTTATCGCATTTTAGTCGAAGCTGATTCGATTCGTTCGCGCCGTATTGGACAGCAGCAAATGGAGGAAAATTGATCTGATAAAATTGACTGCCGCGCGACAACACATAGAAAGGCGGCGGATATATAATTCTCTCGCTTTAAATCTCCGGAGAACGCGAACCTTGTGGGGATCTGGGACAGGAACGCTAACGGAATTTTCGTGTCGCCAACAGGTGGACTTGGAACTCATCCAATTGGGCGTTCAACGAGGACGAGGAGCCGATCATCTGCGGCAACGTAACCGGCGCCAGGTTGGTGTCTCTCTGCCTATCTCCGATCCCACTTGAGATAAGCTAATTCGAGTGATGCGAGGGTCGTATTACCTCACGTCAATCTTCAGACGAGTGCCACTCGATTTCCCCCTTGCGAGGAGATTGCGAAGGAGGCGAGAAAAATGGCAAATTTGCGAGGATGCGCCTCTCCGTGTCGATATACGTCTGTTCTGTAGCGAAATTTCTCAACGTCACTCTCTCTCTCAACCTTCATTCTTCTCGATACTGGAGAAATCGGCAGTCTTCGACAACCCGACGGAAATTTCACTCCACGCCACGGAAAAATTTACTCGGAATCAAGTAAAGCATCTGCGAAGAGAACTAGTGTTCAGTTCAGAAATTTCGTGTCTCCCTGGAGAGAAAATCAATGGACGAAGACAAAAAGAACATAAATGGAACACAATTAACAGAAATAGCTAACAGTAATCTAACTTAATTCGAGTAACTCAATAACAGCATTAATACTTGACGCTCGCGTTTTAATGAAATATTATTTTTCTCATTAATAACTGTGCTATTGAGTTAAACAACATTATTTTCAAATAGAGATTGCTAATGCCCTTAATAGCTTTCTCGTGTAGCTTTTGGAACTTTTATAGTTAGCCTCTCATTTCGAGCGTTGAATCGAGAACGACGTATTCGTCATAAAAATGATTCTTCTTTCGTCTAACGTAAGTTTCGTCACGCGCTGCAAAGCGTGTATACGTTGGCGAAGTTGGCGCCCAGCGATTTCCAGAAACGTAATACTCGCTCTCGTTACGATAAAACATAAATCACCCGTTGATCATTGGCAATTATGTAAAATCGTCGGCGAACTGAATTACAGATAATCACCGACGGTACTGACTATTTCTCATAGCTGCTAGTTAACGAGCGACGTAAAGATATTTCCATTATGATATCCGGTTATAACTTGGTCCCGCAAACGTGTCGTTCATCCGATCGGTTTACTTCATGCACTTTGGCGAACGTGCGAGGGCATCTCTATATTTAACGATTTTCGGGGAGCATCCATTTCCCAAATGATTACGCTGGGCGCACGTACGCGCGACGGAATTCGCTCGGCTAGTATAAATAAGTTTGCAAAAGCTTTACTGCTTTACGGCGGCGCATGAACTTTACGGCGGTCTTTCGGTATCGGTGCGCGGTGTCCTGCGGAAAGTAGGCTTTTTATTCGATCGATATGTTCCGAGTTGACGGTTTCTTTGCACTTTCGATGAGACATTCCTGTAAAGAACTCGGCCGACTTGTGGAAATATTACGCCCGTAGCAATTTTTCACGTCAATACAATTGTCTTTTAATTGTGTAAAGAATGTTGGAAAAGAAATTAAAAGTGTATGATGAAATAATGTTTTCTCTTTCGGAGAGAAAACATGTTGCGGAACATGATGACAGGAGTTACACAGTTGTGATTTTACAATCTTAATTTCGTGTAGAAATGAGGTGTTAATTATTCTTGCCTAACAAGTGCGGGGTAGTCGATAGTTGGACGGGCTGAATACTGGCGCGGTAAAGACCGCAGCAAGTAATATTTCCACACTTGATGATGTACTGCGGACACTTGAAATGTTCTCACGGCTATCACGGATATTGCAGTGTCGGCAATGTGGGTCTTACCTATTTTCCAGACACTGCAACGAGAGCTACACTTGTCTCTGCGTTGGCCCTAATCCAAACCACGGTTACACCAACTTCGATAATTTCCTGTGGTCGATGCTCACAACCTTTCAGCTGATTACCTTGGATTACTGGGAGGACGTCTACAACAAGGTCGCCGTCTGAAAGATTTTTCTTTGTTCGCGTCTCGCGATATAAATGGAGACTGTAGCAAAAGTCGTACACTTTTTCGTGCCTCCAAATTCCTACGACGTGTCCTTTAGAGAAAATTATATAAAATGATTTCCCTTGAAAAGCTTTCGCTATTCGTTTTGACCTGCTTTCTTCTGAATTGGTATTAAACGAACGACAATTTAAGGAAATTAGTGGAAGAATAAATTTAGTAATGTTTAAAAATAACTGTTAAAAAGATGCACAAGAATCAAGGTAATCGACGATTCCCGTTAGTTTCACAGACTTTGAATAAGATCACGGTTACCAAATTGCTCCATCAGGTTACAATTTTAGGAAATTTTCGGTAAAAATTGCAAAAAGAGCTTGTGCTCGGAAAAAAACATTTTTTTGTTGAACGTTGTTATCGAATATTGCGTACATAAATTGGAATTTATTTCTTTTGCGAGTGAAATTGAGATTGTTGCATCTCCCGGAAAAATACCAACGATATATATATCAATCATATTTGTTACCATAAATACTTGATACGGTTATTCATTATAGAAATGATAACTAAAGTTTGGCGGAACAGGTGTTGTCAGCATGCGGACCTATTAGCGTCACGTTCTTCACAATCGTCGTTTTCTTTGGATCATTTTATCTGCTAAACTTGATGCTGGCCGTCGTAGCGTTGAGTTACGAAGAAGAAGCCGAGATTACGAACGAGGTATGCCATCTCATTTCAAGTTTTTACATACTTCCTTGTCTTACTTTAAAGCTGAATTTCGAAATATTAACTCGATAACGCCACACGAAGAAAAAGCGAATAGAGTTACGTTCACTTCTACAATAATGCATAAAAAATTCGTACAATAACTTGATATATCGAACGTTTGATTAATCACTTGTATCACGCCTCTTATTATCCTGTCTACATTTAACCGAGTATTTTGTGTGCAGGAACGAAGGAAAGACTTGACGGATCACCGTGAGGATTCGACGTTCAGTTTCGATCCGTCGAAAATCAACATTAAGACACTGACGAAAGATAAACAGAAGAGGATAGACGCCCGTAAAGGAGTCTTGCTCAGTAGTTATACGAGGAAGAAGACGCGTAGAAGAAAGCGTGGGAGGAGCAGCGTCGGTCACGAGAAAAACGGTGGTGCACGCAGCAGGTTTCTATATCTGTATTTACGACCGACTTTTCTACGGCTCGATTTGTCATGACGATTGTTATCGGATACGCGTGTGTCGTGCTCGTTTACTGAGTCATACGAATAAAGTGGGGCTTTTAGACTTGTTCAACAGAGAAAACGCTTAGTACTAAACATATCAGCGTAATTGTTTATATTCAAAATTTTACAAATTATTCTAGAAAGAAAGAAATTACTGAGAAAATTCTATAAAACAAATGCTTTTAGCTTCTTAACACTTGGAAAAATATAAATAAAAACTTCTAAATGTTAATTCACGTACAAAGCTTTTGTAAATGAGGAAGTTCAGAAGACATGAATTGCATGTAAATTTGTTTTTTGCTTTTATTCAGAAAAAATAACGCTTTGTGACAAAACTAACGAGTGAGAATATGAAAATACCTTTTCATGTATAAAGTTATGGCACTTGCTTTTTTAAGTAAAAAGCTGTAGCAAGTGTAACGAAAGCGATCTTAATCCTGTCAGCATCTCCACGTTAAAAGCATTCGGTGCTTTCATGCGTTTACCGTATACGGAGGGTTAAAGTAATATCTAAAATACCCGTACATACGTACATACATAGGTATGTACGTATATGTAGCTTGCTGCAAAGTCGTTAAACTGTAGCAAGCTGGTTCTAGAAAGACAGAAGGAAAGAAAGAAACATCATAAACGCCCTCATTTCCAAGAAACTGTAATAAAAGAAAAGAAGGGAAATGTGCTGTCTTGCAATTTCACAATGGTAGGCCATCCATATGGAACGCGTATTCCAACGAACTTTGTACAATCTACTTCAGAATTATCGCTACTGTCTTCATCTACGGTTCCTTTTGTCGACTTGTGGTATCGTTTTATGGTTTAGGGAAAATTTTATCGGTTTTCCTTACAAGAAGACACTATGCGCTGCCCCTTGTTAATCATTTGCAGCTATATAATCTCTCATTATATCACAATATTATTAAATCAAAGTTTGCTTTAAATTAATTAGAGAATCAAATTTTGTTATTTATTTGTCCGTAAAAATTAATGCATTTACATTGTTTTATTTCAATTGCTCATAATTAAATTATTTGAATGTCGGTACTTCAATTTTTTCTTTTAAGAAAAATTAGGCTCCTTTTTGGTTAAAGAAATTAGATAGAACGAATAGCGATTATTATTATTATTATTATTTGAAGAACCTGATTGTGACATCGCAGGCATAAAAAAGGGCTTTAGTTTCTGACTAATACAACATTATTTTCTTTCATAATTTACAGCAAAGTCCCTGTGACAGTCACATTATAAAAAAATTATCTTGTTTAAATTCTTTTTTATCTTACATCACGTCTTTTATAAGTTTTCTAATTAATACATTGATCAATAAATTTTAACAATGAATTGCAAACTTTCTTAAAGTTATTATATTTTAACACTTACAAGCTTTGGAATGACCTGATTTAGTAACACATGCAATCAGGAAGTGCCTGGGTATTCCCAGAGTTAATGTCATTACTATAAGCATCGATTTCGCGTTGAACCTAGCTGCAACTCCATACAGCCCCGAGTCTAATTAGTGTAATGCTTCGAATAATCGTTGATTCGTCCGGTACGATCTTAACCCTTTAAAATTGCAATTCGCTAGATCCTGTAGCGATTAAAAACTTAAACGTCCATCACGCCCACTTAATTAGATATTTACAAAAATTATATATAGAATGATATAGAAATCAAAGAAAATAATTTCAAAATAACTTCAGTTTGATTAATATTTGTCCGAATATTCTATATCGTATGAAAAAAGAAACTGTTGTCGAATATCAAATATAAAAGTAACATCAATTGTATGGATTGTCAAAACTGATTATTTCTCGTTTAGATTTCATTGTAGGACAGGATCGTGAAGTATAACGTTGAATTCTATTACAGATCCATTACACCCAGCCCGAGTCCAAGTCCCAGGCACTCGAGTGTACGACCTTCTCACTTGCCGCTCCAGAACATCAGTCCTAGACCGCCGGAACCCAATACGGTTCACCGACTGGCGCCAAATCGGGGTATGCTGCACTCCAGGCAAGCCAGCAACAATAGCAATCAACAGTCGTCTTTGGATGACTCCGGGGTGGTGGATGACCACGACGGCGACGATGTTACATCCGCCGAGGAGCACGATAAGCGAGAGTTGCGGGAGCATCGCGCCGAGAAGTCACAGGAGAAATCCCCGAGGGAGCACAGCAGGGTCCAACCGGCTCAACAAATGCGCCCGGATTGCCCACCTGCGCCGGTCACCGTGTCGGTGAGGACTGGCAATCGGGAGATTCGAGTGCTCAAGTGCAACGGGGTCAAAACCAAGAAACATATGTACGCGCTGCCGCCAGAGTACCTGTCGCACATTGTAGTTTTAGGTGAGTGAAAACTACGGCATGCCGTCAGTGTTTATTTATTGAAATAATATTGTCGCTATTTGCATTAGCGGCTTGAAATTTCCGGGTGAAATTGAAGTTGATTTTCCCTCAATTAAGAAAAACTTGTCGACCTTACTTTATCAATATTGTTATTGTGATTTTATTAAAATTCATGATTCTCAATGTTGAATGTTAAAAGTTACGATAGATAATATTTGTCGCGCAAACGCTGTTTTATGTAACTGCATTAGCGGACTAAAATTTATGTATCCTCTAATCAATTTAGCGCCAGGTTTTACTTAATCATATAAATTATATGCAATATATCTTTGGTTAAAATCAAGTGTTTCTTGTTTTTTTTTCAAATTATATGCAATACTCTGTAGTTAATTAAAATATTCAATATCAAATATTCCAAGCTTGCAATAGATAATATTGACTCACAAACTGCATTATTTATTCAAAATCAGCTATATCTGAATTAGTACTATTTGCATTAATGCGCTATCAATGCGAATAAAACATTATAATTTTATCTCCATTATATATCTTTTAATTAAATTTAAAACATTCAGATTTTTATTAAATGTACATTGAGGATAAAATAACGTATTATATGATTACAGATGATCTTCCAGATAGAAACTGCGATAAGTGTATTCAATGCTGCGTTGATTACGAAGGATGGCTGAGATTTCAGAACTGCCTGTATAAGGTAAACTTACTGATGTCCGCTTTTCTAAAATCTTAACCATGGATCCGGGTTAGTTACGCATTAGACGTGATTGACCCAAATAAACGACCACTAATTAGCGTCAGACTGAAGTAAAACATACTTAACGTTGACCTGGTTCTGCCCACACGAAATAGTTTTTTGAGGCGCGTAATCATATTAGGATTTACCTCGTCTTTCATCACGTTTCGCTAATTCAATTTTTAGGATTATACGGATTACGGACGTAATTTCTAAAGGTGATAACAAAAAATATCGGGACGTTTATTTCTTTAATAAAATTTCAATGTGATTTTTATTCTTTTGTGCCAAATAATAAATAATATTTAATATAATAAATTTTGAACTTAAAAGATAGAAACTATTAATATTAATTTAATAAGGAGAAAATCAGATCGTATGTAGAAATTTCCAAACTATTCTTCTGTATCTATGCCGTTGGAACGTGGAAACAAATGGTAGAATAATTTGCGTCAAGGTGGTGAGAGATCCTCTGTTTGAACTGATGATCACCCTCTGCATCGTCTTGAATACTGGCTTCCTGGCGATGGAGCACCATGGCATGAGTGAGTCGATACGGCAGGCGCTCAACATCGGCAACAAAGTGTTCACCAGCATCTTCACGTTCGAATGCTTCCTGAAACTCCTGGCGTTGAGCAAAGACTTCTTCAATAACGGGTGGAACAACTTCGACTTGATCATCGTTTCTGCGTCGCTTATCGATTTAACGTTTGAGCTGGTAGACGGTCTTTCGGTGATACGTGGTCTCAGATTGTTGCGCGTTCTGAAGCTCGCGCAATCCTGGACGACCATGAAGGTCCTCCTCAGCATCATCATCTCGACGATAGGCGCGCTCGGTAATCTTACCTTTGTGCTGGTGATCGTGATTTACATATTCGCTGTGATTGGAATGCAGCTGTTTAGCAAGGACTACACCTTGGACAAGTTCTATCCGGATCCGGTACCGCGATGGAATTTCAACGATTTCTTCCATTCGTTCATGATGATATTCCGCATTCTGTGCGGCGAGTGGATCGAGCCGCTGTGGGACTGCATGCGTGCCGAAAGGGACGACGGGCCGAGTACGTGCTTCGCGATCTTCCTACCGGCTTTGGTGATGGGCAACTTTATGGTCCTCAATCTCTTCTTGGCGTTGTTGCTCAACAGCTTCAATTCCGAAGAGCTGAAGCAGAAGAAAGAGGAAGTCGGCGAGGAATCGAAGCTCGCGCGTTCGTTCGATCGCATACGGTCGATCGTACGTAAGCAGAAGCACCGGAAAGAGAATTCCGAGAACGAGAAGAATATCCGGTTGGAGCAGATCGTGCGCGAGGTGATGGACAAGTCCGACAAAGAGAAGTACGCGATCCAGGAAACCGTACTGAGCCTTCCCAAAGACAATATTTATAATAGATCGTATCAGGAGAGTCTCAATCAGCCGGTCTTCACGTACGATCCGATCTATCGTCAGGCTACTCTCACCACTTACAGTCAGAGCAGTCAGGAGATGGTCAAGGAGAATAAAAAATTGAGTGAGAAGGGCAACAGTAACGAGACCAATCCCGAAGAGAGTATAGAGCTGGAGGTACTCAAGGATGTCAACCCGGACGAGGAAGTAACCATGTTGCCGGAGGAGAAGCCGACCATTCGAAACGAAGAAAATATCGGAAAGCGTCCTTGGCATACCCTCGTAAGTTACGTGGACGAACTGACGGTCGGCGGTAGAAAAGACAGTAAGGGAAGATACATCGACGGATTGGGCTCGTTTCCCGGATTCGGCAGAAACAAGCCACCCAAGGAACCGCTTGATTGCTTTCCCCAACACTTCTATCAAAAGTAAGATGTATTTTTAGTCTTATTGATTTAACATGATATAAAATACAGACACTGCACATATCTACTGAAATTATTTATAATAAAAGTTAAAATAAGATTTAAAATTATATTTTAAAAACTCACACTTGTAAAGATACAAATTGCATATTCTTCTCAGGATTCTTGTATGCTCATTCGTTTGCTTATCTGATTTCGTTAAATGTTTAAATTGCAATTGGAACGTAATATTGGAATTGTTTAGGTGCAGCTGCATCAATCGTTGCCTCGCCACGGATCTCGGCAAGAAGTGGATAAGAGTTCGTACGGCTGTCCTGTCGGTCGTGGACACGCCCGCTTTCGAATGGATGATCTTAGTTTTAATTTTCGCATCTTCCATAACGCTGTGCTTCGAGGACATCTATTTAGACGACAATCCTTTTTTGAAGAAGATTCTCTATTGGACCAATCTTGGCTTCTGCGCACTTTTCAGCGCCGAGATGCTCCTGAAATGGCTAGCCCTAGGCTTCTGTAAATACTTCACCAGTTTCTGGACAATCCTGGATTTTATAATCGTTTTCGTAAGTACGATCAAAGTATCGCGCCCAGTCGGTGTCAAATGTAAAACTGTGTGCGATCGCATACGTGTGGCATGAAATGTGTTTGTCGATTCCTTTGCTTGCCTCCAAGCATTATATATTTGTATTCAGGATGTGCCATCTAACTTTATAAATAACGCTTACAATCTTTATTGCTAACAAAATTTTTTTAAATGTTACTTGTATGCCATTAAATAGTGCAGAATAAATCAGGTTAATATTATATATCGTTTTTGAAGCTTTCAATGATTATTAAGTGATTTTTGATTCGGCAAATTCTCAAATTTATGCTGGTAATGAAATTTGTACATACAACAATAATTATTTTACGCCGTGAACTTAGATGGTTCAACTTGTACATATAATAAGATGAAATTATTGAGATCACATTGGATGAAACACGCGTGATAATTGTTTGAACGTTGTTTCCGTGTTCCTTTTCTATATGTTTTATGTGTGGCCCCGTGGATCCAGGTATGTCGAAAGTTACATGTCTCATTGTCAGTACGCTTCCATTTGTATCGCGTATAATTTAAAATGATCGCGTTAATTTACTGTAAATGCATGTTATATATTTTGTTTTGTGTATGGGGTATCAGATGGACAATTATTAATTGAACTCAAATGAAAGATGCATGAAAGATGAAATAATTGAAAAAATATTTTCTGATCTCTGATAAATTATAGAGTTTGCATTTGTAAAGAAAGATTTAAAATATATAAATAAATATAAGCTGACGTTTATT